AACCAAAAACCAACGCAAACTAATAGAACCCGAATCGGCCATTTTCACCATTGGTTAATAGTTTTGGTGACCAACTCCCCAACTTGACCAGGTTGGTTCGATTGGCCAAATAGCTTAGAACCAAATTAAATTGACCTGTGAACACCCCTAAATACAAGTACAAAAATTAAGTGAAACATTATGATACACACAAAGCAAAGAAAATGCCATTTTTATAAAACCATTTATTGAGATCAATCTGAATTATGTACTCCAAAAGATGTATAGTAGCCTAATGGGCAAAGAAGAGAGTTAGGATTGGCTCCCCACAGAGTGTGTTCCACATAACATCTTAATGTGGAGTTTGAATTTCCTCCTCATAGAGCGCTCCTTACACCGACATCACAAGATATACCAGGTGCACATTGGGAACACCTCCCATACTTTATGTTATTATTCATGGGAGATGTTTCCAATACATGGTGGGATGTGGCTATGAGGCTAGTGTGAGGAGTAGATCCCAATTCCTCAATGTGCATTGAGAATATCTCTTGTGGACATAAAGTTTAGATTGGTGCTCCACATACACATCTCAACATGCATTGGGAACATCTCCCTATAAGTCTATGACAAGCATGAGAAATGTAGGGGTGAGCACTATTTGGTTAAAACCGAAAAATCGAATTGAAAATTTTCGTTTCAGTTTTTTTGGTTTGTTTTTTTCAGTTTTTGGTTAAATTGGTTTTTAGAACTAGAAATTTGATTAACTGAATTAACCAAACTTTCTAAGATTATATATAATATATTACATATTATATATTAATATATAATAAAATGAAATTCAATTTCATAATATATATTATAATATATAATATATTAAATATTATAAATATATAATAAAGTATATATTATTAAAATTCGGTTTTAACCGGAATAACTGAAAACTGAACCAAAAATTTTGGTTTCAATTTTGGTTTTTATTTTTTAGTTTACTTTTTAAAATTTTAGTTTATTCGGTTTGGTTTTTAATCGAATAAACCAAATGCTCACCCCTATGATAAATATTCTCAATACACGGTTGGGATGTACTATGAGGCATGCTCTGTAGGGGTGCTAGTGCAAATTCTCTCTTGTACTTGTAATATGTTCCCATGTGCACATGGGACATGTTTGCCCATATTACATCCCTTTGATTTATTGATGTGACTCCACCTTGAATTGATTGTGACAACAATGTATCAAAGGTTTCCAAGATTGTTCATCACACCAACTTCAACAACACATCCAAACCATGCATTGCGAACATCTCTCCATGAATGACAACACAATTATGGAAGGTTGGTGTGAGGTGGAGTTCACTTTGGCTGTTTGGAAAAAATAGCCTAGGCTGTGTTGGGAGCCTCTACACATGACACCTTAGCTAATTCGGGTCCTCAGTTGTCTTTTCAACTAAAAAAGTATTGAGTGTATACTATTTTACCCACACTCATTATGAGATATCATTCACAGCAAACTCCCAAAACAGCCCAGACTATTTTTTTTATAAATAGCCAAAAGTTTTTCTTGTGAGGTGGGGTTCGTGAGGAACAAGTCTAGACCGACATTGGAGGTGGTCATTTCCATTGTTTTAAAAGGCTTAAGCCTTGAGGCAAGACGCACATAATTTGCCTCAAGGCTTAAGCCTCACAAGTTTGATGCGAGGCGATATGAGGCTTAAGCCTTTATTAGAATGAGACATAAGCCTTAAGCCTCAAGGCGTGAGGTGTAGCTTGAGGCATAAAAAGGCATAAGCCTCAAGTATCAATGATTACTTAGTGGTTTAATGCAAAAGAATACATTTTTATAATTTAAAACATATAAAAACACTTTAATAATTATAGACCAAATAAAAAAGAAAAAGTAAAAAAGAAAAAACAACAAGGCAAATAAAATTCTATTAGTTTTTCTTAGTGTTTTAAGAGAGTTTAATGCAAAAAGGATTAATCAAGTTCTTAATTTCTTTTTGGATAACTCAAGTGAGGTTTTTCTTAATATTCTAAAAGTTGTTGTTGTTGTTGTTAAATCAGCTATATTTTTCTTTTCTTCTAAATTGTTTTTTTTAACATGAAACATAAAATATTTATAATTGTTAGTTGATTACTTATTATTTTATTTAATGCTTAAATGCGTAAACTTATTGTTTATAAGCTTCTAATTTATGGATATATGCACTTTCTATCATTTCAATTCGGCATATTATATGTTACTTCCATTAATTTATAAACTTTAATTAATTTTTTCTTAAACTTTGAGCTCACACCCAAGGTTTCAAATTTTGATACGATAAGCCCGATACGAGGCATATCGTGTTGTATTTTGAAAAGTCAGATATGAGATATGGTGGAAAATCGGTATATCGTCTTTTTTCTCCACCGTATCGGGGCATATCGAGGGCATGTCGAGGCATATTGAGGGTGTATCAGGGTGTATTAGGGGCGTATCAACCTATACATTATGAAAAGGATACAACCAAAAATTGAAAAAAAAAATAAAATAAAGGGGGAAAGAAAGTTTCTTTTCCCTGAAATAAGCTTTCTTTCACCCCCAAATGACTCAAAAACTCCAAACCTCATTCATAGTGTTAGATATGCAAAAATTTGCAAGAAACAAGCACGAATCTTTATTTTTTTTAGATTTTTTAAGTTTTGAAAAAATGTGGCAAAAATATGTAATTTTTTCAAATTTTTTATAATATCTTGTGATTTCTTTTTTTCTTGAACATTTAAATCTATGTTAATCTACATTTCTTACATTCAAAATCATAATCTTTTTTTTTTTGTGTTGTGAGTAGATCTATGGAAATTTCATGAAAATATTTGGAGAAAATATAAATTAACAAAAAATTTGGAAATGTAATTTTTTTTTTCTTTCCCTATAAAGACTTAATATGTTTTAGATCTATGGATTTATCTATCATATCCATAGACCAATTAAAAATTTTCTTTAATATATTTTTTTAATTTTTTATATTTTAGAATTTAAAAATAAATAATATTTATTTATATTTTATCATTCGATCACAACGATTGAATATATTATAATTCTATGGATGATCTATCATATCCATAGAGCAATTGAAAATTTTTCTTTAATAATTATTATTTTTTATTTTTATATTTTTAGAATTAAAAATAAATAATAATTAATTATATTTTATCATTTGATCATAATGATCGAATATATTATAATTCTATGGATAATCTATCATATCAATAAAGCAATTGAAATTTATTCTTTAATAACTATTTTTGAATATATTGTATATTATTTATTTTTTTTATAATTTTTGAAAATAAATAATAAATAATTATTAATTATATTTTCACTTACAAGTTGTGCCAATGCATGTTTTATGGTTGGAAAGGAGAGTTTGATTTTTTCCATCCCATAAAACTTAAAAATTTTAGGGTTCGTTTGGTTCGCAGTCGGAATCGGAATCGGAATGGCTCGTTCCCAAAATCTGTTTGGTTCAAATAGGAATGGGAATGAGAATTAGAATCAGCAGGACTGGGATTTCATTCCCAAGGGAGGGGTAGGGAATGGCCATTCCCTCCAATGGGGAATGCGATTCCAATAGGAATGGGAATGGGGTTCTGATTCCGCCCAACCAAATAGTTGGAATCGGAATAGTCCATTCCGATTCCAAACCCCTATTCCCGTAAACCAAACGAGACCTTAATTTATATAATGAAATTGTAATAAATTATAGTGTATTTCTTCGTAAAACCATTAAAATATATGAATTTAATTTATTTGCACCTCATTAAAATCATATACTTAATATTATTAATATATATTTTTTAATTTATTATATTTTTATGCATATCTTAGTTTTTTTATATGCAAGATACATTTCTTAAAATTACCTTTCCAATACACATATTTCCGTACGTTGTAAGTTATAATGCCTCACATTTTTGGCCATTACCTTTTAGCCTTTTTAAAACCTTGGTTATTTGACTCATTTCACGGAACTAGTAGCCCTACGCTGCTCCAATCAATGGGCGTAGCTGATTTTCTCCTCCCGTCAATACATTCTTGAAACCGGGACTTGGAACATAAAACAAGGAGCACGAACCTGTTTCTTCTACACTGCATTGCCGCATCGCCCTTCTCTTCTTTTTTCCCAACCGAGTACCGAGACGTCGGTATTAAACGTGGGTCCGGAGAAATACGGATAGGCCCTGGTTTTGGTTTTCACCGTACAACTATAAACATTTAAAATCTCAAAAACTTTCATTTTATACATTAATATCTACCCGTGAATTGATATCAATTCCGATTTAATATTCACTCCAACTCCAACTATATTATTTATGCCACGTGCTAACTGACTCAAAACACACTACATTCTCGGATACTCTCCATCTCTCATCGCTGTGCTAAAAGCAAAAGCACCCTCATCAAATTGGAGTAAAAAGACAAAATGAGAAATGCCTTTATAGAGTTTATACAATGAACGGTGCTGGATCTCAAATCCTGCTCCAATATGATTATTATGTATGTGACTGGGTTTTTGGCCTTTTGCATTCCTCGTCCTCCTGCTCTGCCACAACTGCAGCAGGGCGAAGTGTTTCATTGTTTGTTTCTTTTAAGAAACAAGAAAGCGTTTCAGTGTTTTTGATTTGAGACTTTATTTACATGTGAAATGGGTAAATTGACAGATAGCTTCAACTGTAGGCCACAAAATTGGAACCACAGCGCCTCGAGTTGGAACAAGGAAAGGTTTTTTTATTATCTTTCGTGAAAAGATAAAATAAAAAAAAAGGAAGAATTAGGTGACACCAATCTTTTTTTTTTTTTTAATAATCAAAATGGATTTGTTTCCATTTTCTCTTTTTTTTTTTTAATATTAAAAAGGTTTACCAGATAAAAGAGCAATTTAATGAAAAATCCATTCAACCAAACATGAGTGGAGCATCACAAATATTCTGGGAAGGTCAATAAAGATAATATACTAATACATATTAAGAGGCCAAAAAAGATATTAAGAGGTCTAATGCTTCTGTCTTGGTTATGTAAATGCTGCATTTGCACCGTGTTTGGAAGAGTTACAGCATTCCATTCATCCCTTCAAAATATATAGTGGCTTGTGGCTTGGAATTTAAAGGAAAAAAAAGAAGGTTTATATGTTTGATAAGATGATGATTATGATGATTTCTCTTGGTAATGAAAATTTTATACAGGTCCTGAAGGATAATCAAAAACCTTGACTTACCCGTTTTTGATTTTTTAGAGTTACAGTTTTTGTTCTTCATGGTGGCTGCTACAGAATATACAGATTAATTTCACGCGCTGCTGGCCCTGTTTAATGGTCAGTCGCTCTTATCTTTCTCCGTCTGGTGTTGAGATTTGCATTTTATTTACAGAGATTTTGATATTCATTGAAAACGCAAATGAATAGTTCGTATTTGCACCAAATTTTCTGTTGGGTTGGGCTTCCTTCTTGTTTTTTTTCAAGGTTTCTCAGTTTCCAATCCCAGTTTTGTCATGGTATTCATGACTTTCTTTTGAGAGTTATAAGTTAATGGGGTTGTCGTTGTGAGGAGTCTAAGAAAAAGGAGAGAATATCTTACGGCCATTACAGTCTTTGTCCTTCTATTTTGTTGGTTTTTTGGTTCAGAATACATTCATGGGACCAATAACAGTTTTGTCGATCCTTCAGTGAATTAGAGGTCGTCATCAGATGGGACTGGCAATGGAAATGGGATATTTGCCATTCACTTTTTCTCAAATGAAGAAGATGGTAGACTGGTAGAGTGGTAGTGGGCTTCTCCACTTTTCCGCTTTCTTTATGTTCGCTGGGTCCGATGGAATCAGCTTAGCTTACGGGTTGTAGCCTGTGGGTTTTGGATTCGATTTTCGTTTATCGTGTGAAAATTCTGTTCATTTTAGTGAGAGAAGATACAGAAGCATAAATTGCAACCTCCAGCCTGTACCCTGGTAGATATTTGGTGCCTTTTTACAGGGCTCAACTCAGACGAGCAGATTCAATTAAGTAAGAGCCAAGTGGGAAACGAAGAAGAAGAATGGATGAGATGTCATCCAAGTCGAACAGGACGAATTGTTCTAGGAGTAGCTCTGCTCGTTCGAAACACAGCACCCGTGTTGTGGCCCAAACCACCGCTGATGCGAAACTTCATGCAGACTTTGAAGATTCCGAACATTTGTTTGATTATTCCACGTCGATTGACTTCAATGCTGCAAGCGCGGATAATAATATTCCCTCTTCCACTGTTTCAGCTTACCTCCAAAGGATGCAGAGAGGGAAGCTTATCCAACCCTTTGGCTGTATGATTGCTGTCGAAGAAGAGAGCTTTGCTGTTCTTGCCTATAGCGAGAATGTCTCTGACATGTTGGACCTGATCCCACTTGCTGTTCCCAGCGTGGAGCAACAGGAAGTTCTCACAATTGGAACTGATGCTCGGACCCTCTTTCGGTCCTCCAGTGCAGCGGCCCTGCAAAAAGCGGCCAACTATGGAGAGGTTAATCTCCTCAATCCAATATTGGTATATTGTAGGAACTCCGGTAAGCCCTTTTACGCAATTATGCACCGGATCGATGTGGGTTTGGTTATAGATTTGGAGCCAGTGAATCCTGCTGATGTTCCAGTAACTGCTGCTGGGGCACTGAAATCCTACAAGCTTGCAGCCAAGGCTATATCCAACTTGCAATCTTTGCCTAGTGGAAATATATCGCTTTTGTGTAATGTATTGGTTCGGGAAGTTAGTGATCTGACAGGTTATGATAGGATAATGGTGTATAAGTTTCACGAAGATGAACATGGCGAAGTGATTGCTGAGTGCCGGAGACCGGATTTGGAGCCTTACTTGGGCTTGCATTACCCAGCTACTGATATACCACAAGCTTCAAGGTTCCTCTTCATGAAGAACAAGGTCAGGATGATCTGTGACTGTTCAGCACCGCCAGTAAAAATAATCCAAGACAAGAAATTGGCACAACCCTTGAGCCTCTGTGGGTCTACACTGAGAGCTCCTCATGGGTGCCACGCTCAATACATGGCCAATATGGGTTCCATTGCATCTCTTGTATTATCTGTGACAATCAACGAGGATGACAATGACATGGACAGTGGTCAGAAAAAGGGAAGGAAGCTGTGGGGCTTGGTAGTCTGCCATCACACAAGCCCTAGGTTTGTCCCATTCCCACTGAGGTATGCGTGCGAGTTTTTGATGCAAGTCTTTGGTATACAGCTTAACAGGGAAGTGGAATTGGCTACTCAATTGAGGGAGAAGCATACTCTGCATACCCAGGCTCTGCTTTGTGACATGCTCCTCAGGGATGCTCCTGTGGGGATTTTTACTCAATCACCCAATGTGACGGACCTTGTCAAGTGTGATGGTGCCGCACTCTACTACAGTGGTAAATGTTGGTTGCTAGGGGTCACCCCTACAGAGGCTCAAATAAGGGATATAGTTGGATGGCTTCTTGAGCACCATCATGGGAGTACAGGTTTAAGCACAGATAGCCTCATGGAAGCTGGCTATCCTGGGGCTTCAGTTCTTGGTGATGCAGTTTGTGGAATGGTGGCCATCAAGATTACATCAAAGGATTTCCTCTTTTGGTTCCGTTCACACACAGCCAAGGAGATCAAGTGGGGTGGTGCAAAACATGATCCTGCTGATAAGGATGATGGTAGGAGGATGCATCCTCGATCATCGTTCAAGGCCTTCCTGGAGGTAGTCAAGAAGAGGAGCTTATCATGGGAAGACATTGAAATGGATGCCATCCACTCCTTGCAACTGATACTTCGAGGGTCCTTACAAGATGAAAACAAAAAAGACTCCAAGGCAATTATGAATATGCCTTCAGTTGATGCAAGAATTCAAAAGGTAGATGAACTACGTATTGTCACGAGTGAGATGGTACGCCTTATTGAGACAGCTTCAGTACCCATTTTGGCTGTTGATGCCTCAGGTAATATAAATGGATGGAATACCAAAGCAGCTGAATTGACTGGATTGTGTGTGGAGCAGGCTATTGGAATGCCATTAATCAACCTTGTTTATGATGATTCAGTTCAAGAAGTGAAGAGCATGCTTTCCTTGGCTTTGCAAGGTGATACTTGAGTAGATCCATTGGCTTTTATTTTATATCCTTCATAGCTTACCATGCTGTTTATTGAAACCTATATGCTTATTCAAAATATTAAATACTTGTTAAAAACTAGATAAAATTGTTTCCTGGATTTGTTCTTTCATTAGTTCACACCATGTCTAGTTACTAACTTCTCATATTTAATTTTTCATCGAGGTTGGTCCTATTTTGCAGTTTTCAAGACCATTTAATTTGGATATGAACATACTTGTTGGTATTAGAAATCATTGACAGCTATATGATAACACTGAAAGACTTGCGGATAGCCATCAGTTCATGCAAGTAAAGAGATACATAAGAACAGTCAGGCAAACATGTTAATCATATTTTAACATAAGTGACAAGGGTCTGCAAATACTCCAAAAACTAATAGGAAGATCACTTTAAAGAGTTGCTACATATGCTTTTTTGGGAAGTATTTGGCATTCCTGTTTTTCCTGTCTTTATGCATATGATTCCTCCTTTTATTTAAACATTCCACTTGAATCCTTGATTATCCCAAGAATTCAGGATTTTCCAAAAATCACATTAACCACGGGGAATATTTTAGACTTCCAATTGATGGACTTTTCAAACTGCAGGAAAAGAAGAGAAAAATGTTGAGATCAAGCTTAAAACATTTAGTCCTCAAGGATCTAATGGACGTGTGATACTGGTTGTCAATGCTTGTTGTAACCGGGACATGGCAGGAAATGTTGTAGGAGTTTGCTTTATTGGGCAAGATAAAACAGGGGAAAGGATGGTGATGGACAAATACACTCGTATCCAGGGTGATTACACTGCACTTGTGAGAAATACATGCACACTTATCCCACCAATATTTATGATAGATGAGCATGGTCACTGCATTGAGTGGAACAATGCAATGCAGAAATTGTCTGGCATGAAGAGAGAAGAAACTATCAATAAGATGCTTGTGGGGGAGGTGTTCACTCTCTATAGTTTCAGTTGTCAGGTCAAAGATCAAGACACATTGACCAGGCTCAGGATATTATTGAACAGTGTAATGGCAGGCCAGGATGCAGATAAGTTGCTATTTGGGTTCTTTGACCGGCATGGTAAGTATGTGGAAGCTTTTATTTTTGCAAATAAAAGGACAGATGCAGAAGGTAGGATCATTGGGGTTCTCTGTTTCTTGCATGTTGCTAGCCCTGAACTTCAACATGCTCTACGGATGCAGAGTATATCAGAACAAGCTGCAGTAAATAACCTCAAGGAATTAGCATACATTCGTCAGGAAATCAGAAATCCACTTCACGGAATACTGTTCACACGCAATCTAATGGAGGCTTCTGATTTAAGCAAAGAGCAGAAGAAACTTCTGAGGACAAGCATACTCTGTCAGGAACAACTAGCCAAGATCATAAATGACATTGATTTGGAAAGTATTGATGAGTGGTATTTCTCTTTATTTACCTTTTGTTCATAATCATTCATTAGAATAATCTTTCCTACTTTATTGGCCAAGTGGTGTTGCAGATATAATTGTAGTATTTACTATTTAGGTCAGTTTAATATTGTTTGAGAAGAAAAAGCTTTGGCTTAGATATGAATGCATGGAAAACAGTAAGGAAACTTAGTAAATTCATCTCCATGATTCTTTCGTACATTTAATGACTTTAATTTTCTATTTCCAAACTGAGAAACAGAATGCAAAAAGTTATAGTTGAATTATTTATGGGACAAATCATGGTGGGTGTAACTTTAATGGTAGGAGTGACCTAAGGCTTGGAAGTGGGAATTGAGGCCAAACCTTAGAGGATAACAACCAGAAGATATTAGCTAGACTATAGGGATCTGACATGGAATCTAGATGTTTGATACAACAACATAATAAATGTTGTGAGTGGAAATAATCTGGAGGAATCTTTAAAGTTAAAAGCAATGGAGTGATGAAGAGTCCTATATTATTGTTCATGATGTAATATAATTCTTCTTTTGCCTTTTATTTCACCATGGTTCATATCTATACTGAAATACACATATTATGTTATTTATCAAAAAAAAATACACATATTATGTTAATTTCCATGCAAAAAAAAAATCATAAGGAAAACACATTTAGATGCATTATATGCTTCTGCCTTAGAGATATTGAACAGTAATAACCATTCTAGCTTAAACACTATTTTTTTAATTAATTGTCATTACCTTGGCTGACTGTACAAATTTAACTTGGTAAATTGGTTAGTTTTGGTCATCCATTCAGATTGCTTTTTGGCAAGGATATCTCATGATTGGGGATGATGTAAAAGTTAATAATCCATGTTCTTCTGTAACGTTTCCACTTGATTTGTTATGGCATTTACATATCCCTTCTTTTTATGGTCAACATTATTCATTTTGTATGTTTCCTCTTCCTCACTATTCTTGTCCAGGAAGTTTAAGATTTGTACACCTGTACCCACTTTTAGATCCTTTGATCTTCAATTTCTATGTAGTTAGCCACTTGTTTCTTGTGCATTAACATCTTTGAGATTTTCTAAATGGCTTATTATCTGTGGACCACAAAAATAGCTGTCTCAAGATGAATACTGTCGAATTCAACCTTGGAGAAGCTCTGGAGGTGGTCATAACTCAAGTTATGACTTTGAGCAGGGAACGACAGGTGCAGCTGATCCATGATTTGCCAGCAGAAGTGTCATCCATAAACTTGTATGGTGATAACTTGAGGCTTCAGCAAGTCTTATCAGATTTCATGATGAATGTTCTCTTGTTTACACCAGCATTTGAACAATCTTCAGTTGTGCTTAAGGTCATTCCAAGAAAGCAACGTATGGGGACTACTGTACAGATTGTTCATCTCGAATTTTGGTAATTTATGCATTCCACTAAACCTTTTTGAATATCAGTAGATCTTGCTTTAATCAATATTCCTATCATTTTCCCTTTCCATTGGTTAGACATTCTTATTTACCGAGCATGTATATTGATATGCATGTGTTGTTAATGCATTCAAGAGTTCATTGGAGTCCATAATCTCCACGGGAATTCAAGCTCTCTTGATGAACACGATTTTGTGTTTACAGGATCACACACCCAGCACCAGGGATTCCAGATGCTTTAATTCAAGAGATGTTCCACCACAGCCCGAGTGTCTCAAGGGAAGGCCTAGGCTTATACATTAGCCAGAAGCTTGTAACGATTATGCATGGCACTGTACAGTATCTTAGGGAGGCAGAGAGATCATCACTCATTATTTTCATCGAGTTCCCCTTGGTCCATCGCCATACTGGACCTGTGTGATCTGATGGTTAAGAAAGCAAACCTAATCATAACTAAACCATTTTCAGCTCCCCACATAACCCTGAACCAATGGCATATTTTACCTTTAGAGAAATGGGTGAACGAACTGGTTTCAGTCGGAATTGGCTTGGTTGGACTGGACCTGTGTGAACTGGTTTCAGTCGGAAATGGCATATTTTGGTTCTTCTTACAAAATAACTGCTTATCACCTGTGTGAGTGTTGTAACAGCCCTTGTAAATTGGTTTGAAGGTGGCGACATAATTTCCCAAGTGCTTGATGATAACGGGCTTTTGGCCTCTTTGCTCAAATCCATTACTCGCAGTTTATTTATTTATTTTCTAATTTATTTTTTTCTACCAATATTTATTTTCTAATTTATTGTCATTCAAAGTAGGGATGCAAGTTGGGTTGCCCGAATCAAAGACTATCAACTGCATCAGGTTCGGGTTCGGGCTTCATTTGGTTGAAAATGAAATGACATTTAACTTCAAAGCCTTGTTTTCTTTATTTTCGTGGTATTTCGCTTGGAAAAAAAGCTGAATAATTGAGAAATATGACTTGCAAAATGCAGATGGAGAGAATCGACATCTATTCAGAAAACAACTCAAATAAATTTGAGCTATTGAATTTGTATTATCGATAATGTAATTATAAGATTTATGTGAGTTTTCCTACAATATTAATGCATATATTTAATTATTAATTCCACCACATTCTAGTATTAAATTTATACAATCTGGAATTCTAGTGTTTCCCTGTAATCTAGGCTAGAAGCTTAACGACTTGTCAACACTCCAGCAACCACGACTGATCCAAGTCAGTTACTGAATCATTATTGCCACAGACGATTGGAGATATACTTAGCCTAGACTAGAGGATTGACCTGAATCTTTGGCTCAGTACTCAATAGGCCCAACAATGTCCACTTTGCATTTACATGTAAGACTTGCAATGTTTTTTCATCCATGCTTACCATGGAACTATAAGGGCATAAACCCCATAGACAATACACGCACAGTGATGTAGGATAAGCAGAGTACGACTTTTTTTTTTTTGTTTTTGATAACAAAGCAGAGTACAACTTTGATATTAACATCTTCCACGTTTTACAAATTCTCTGAACTGGAAGCTTATTTTAAAGCGACCTTTTAATTTTTATATGTATAGAGGATCTTTCTTTTTCTTTTTTTGGTAATCATGTAGAGATTCATTTGATCAACTTTAACTTCTGATATCCATTGACTCTTCAAGATGTTTTTGCAAACCTGTAAATGCACCGCAATGCAAAAGGTTAATATAGTCAAGTAATTCAAGGATTAAATTATAAGCAAAATTCATTTTTCTTTCCAATAAAAAAAACACCATGCATTTTTAGAAAGAGATAAGTAGATGAAGTTTTGTATGTTATTAATAGATAAATGCTAGTAAAAGACAAGTGGGACCCATGGAAAGGCATGTTCAACTATGTCTTGTAGTGTATCTTCTCATGGATCCCACAATGTTTGTAGGGTTGAAGAATACAAGAGTAGCATAAAATCATTGTTTAATAGCATCCCTCATTAATATCTTTGATATTCTATGTAGTATATACTGTAAACTATAATCTGGGCTGTGTTTTTAAGGAAATTGTAAGGAAAGGAATTCTTTCCCTTCCTTTCCCTACATTTTGCTTCAAACCAAATATAGTCTTAGTTCTAATTGATCTTTTGCCATATGACATTAATTTTCTTGCACCTATTTATTGTTGCATACCACATTGCTAACTATGGAAGTTCTAGGTTAAGATGGCATATTGAGCAGTTTTGAATTCAATAAAGAACAAAAGTGGGTGCTAAAATTAACATACTGAAATGGAAGAAAGAAGGTGATCCATATTCCATTTACAGACCTTCTAGAGAAGTTTGAGCTTCTGATCTTTTGTTTATTGCTCTCCATCTTGGCTGATAGTTCCCTTTCTCTAGCTGCTGCTTCTCTCTTCATCTTTTTTGACTCAATTTCCATAGCCCTTGCCAGTGTGTCAACTTTCTTCATGAGCATCTGCCAATGAATTTGACCTACTTCATTTATTCATTGAGAAAGAGAGGGGTGGAGGGAGGGAGAGATTATTGGTTAGTAGTTTCTTCACCTTAATTTCCTCATCTTTAGCATTCACAGTTGCATCCTTCTCCTCACAATATTTTCTTAGGTTGATGACTTCTCTTTGCAGCCTGTCATATAGAAAACCGGAAACCATATCTTCACCACCAGCATCTGCAATTTGACTAATTTCTGAATCTATTTTGTTCCCATCAGTTCTAATTTCTTCAGGAACTGCCGATTCATCATGAAAACACTTCACAACATTCACATTAGAGTTTTCCTTCATTTCTGCAGTCTTCTTGTCATCATTATCAAGCATCTTAAGTCTGGATGCCCACAAACTTGTTATCCATTTCTTTTCTCCAGAATCATATATCAACTTTAGGCTGTTTGCTCGTCTTAGTTGTTCAGCATCATTGGCTGTTCCAATCTCTAAATTTGGCTGCTCAATCAGGGAGGCTTTATTGCTGGCAACAGAAGACATTGGTTGTGATGTTGATTTCCTCCGAAGTCCAGCATTATTTGATAGGAACCCCAAAATATAATTAGGCTTTTCAGTTTTTCGGGATCCACAAGGTGCATTAAGATTGATTGATAAATTTGGCACTTGCTTTAAGCCCTCTTCCAGTGTCTTTAGTCTCATTCTCAGTCTATCCTGAAATAGGAACAGAAAGTATACAACACCAACAATTTGCATTTGGAGACAGATATTTCTGAATGGAAGATGAAAAATACTAGTTATTACCTTTAGATGTGCTTCAGCCTTGGCTGTTCTCTCTGAAAGGGTTAGCTTGTCTTTTAACCGTTGAATCTCGGCCTATAAATGCAAGTCATATGTAATAACACTTTAAAGACAAAAAGAGTTTCTGTTTGTATTACAGTCTATCATTTGATTTTCTTAGCCTGTGATGTAATTGTTAGGTCTAATGCTTTTGGTTAGACTCATATTAGAAGAGGCAGATCCTCTAGTACTGCCTATTTTGGGAACTCAGTTCTTTTCATTTTAATATCAATTAGAGGTATCCATCCAGTGTTTTTATTTTGAAATATACGTATTTGTTGATGTTCTAGAGGAACACCACAAATGCCTCATGATCCAGAATGAGGAACAGCTGGGTTTACAAAATATGAACAACATTTTCTGGGATTTAAGTAGGAAAGAAGTACCTGAAAGAACCTCCGCTCCTCCAGCCATTGCTTAATGGGCATGACTTTGTCATTATCATCTTTCCACTCGTTAGCCACCACAGCTGCAACTCGATTAGCTGAAACTTTAATTCTTGCTAGTTCCCTCTCTAGTGTCCTTTTCTCCTCCTGGAAAATTGTAGGACAAGGGAGTAGCTCAACTCAGAATTTTGCACCCAAACAAAAGCTTCAAATATCACTGACCTATGAGCACTTACTGAACTAAAGTAGTTAAAGTGCCACTCACTAACAGGCTGGCTCTTACATTTAATTCAGAAATTTGGCGTTGATAGTCGCGAATAACATTTGCAGCAACTCCACCCGCAAGAATGGACTCTTCAAGTTCCTGAATGGTTTGGCTAAGCTTCTCAACTTCAACAACCTTTTGACGATTAGTTTTTTCAAGGGTTTTGTTTTCTTCCTGCATCATCATGAATGATGTAAAGCTTTGGCTAAGAATCTCAACTTCCAAATGCATTAACCATGAATGAAGTTCATAGAACCATGCCTGGCAGATCTCGATTTGTCTCTTCAACTCAAAGTTCTCATTTTGGATCTCCTCTACTATTAGAGCCCTTTCCAAAGCACTTCTCAATATCCTTTCTGCTTCAAGTAGAGCTGACTCTTTTGACTTGGTGATCCGTTCCAAAGCCTTATTATCCTCCTGTAATGCAGCAATCTGAAAAAGAAGAAATTTTGGAAAAGAAAGAGAAATGATTACTCTTTGCCAATGAAAACCCAACTATATTCTAATTTCTGTTAAATTTTCAAGAGAATGCAGAATCTTATTTCATCTTCATACCTCATTTTTATACATTTTAATATCTGCCTCAAGAGGTGCAATAACAGCTTCAAGTGGAAAAAAATTCTCTTCTTTTTGATTCACATATACTCTTCTGAGAGTTGCTTCTGCAGCAAATTGTGCAGCCAATGCCTCTTTCTTCTCATTTGTAAGTTTCTTAATTTCAAGATTCTGCAATTAATTGGCTAAGCCAAACTGAGTACCCAAGTAACTTCTTCAAATTAAGCAAAAGCTATATATATTTGGAAGAGTTCACTTAGGGGCAGGTAGGCACCTTGGATTCTATAAGGTTCTCAGCTGCTCTAAACTTCTCATCCAATTTCTTAAGTTTATCGTTGAGCTAAAATAAACAAGCAAGCGCAAAGTCAGTGGAATTGGTTAAAAAAGTATAATTTCTTAAGTTTATCTGGATAAAGTTTTCAGTAACATAAAATTATTTTATTCATCCTCCCACTAGAATTATATAGGGTCAAGTAGATCATCTACACCAAAAAGGATACCGTTTACAATGAGAAAAACCATCCATCATGCAATAAAAGAGAACAAAAACAATAAACTCGTTTTCTGCTTTGCTTTCCCTTGTTTCATAAAAACTTTAAAAAACTGAATGGCCACAATTCACATGAATCACATGGAAAAGTCCCATCCTCCACAGAATTTAGGTCATGTTCATGGATAAAATGTTCCCAATGGCCAAGTTACAGGATCCCCTATCAGATGGATGGGCTGTATTGGTCATGTCATTCACCCACATGGCTAAAAAGAAATACCTTGGACAGCAGCAAGCTGGACATTAGCGCTTATTTTTTTTTTTTTTTTTTTTGATTGGTCATGAAGGCTTCTTCTAGAGAAAAAGTTCTAGCAGTTCTTTTCTTTCTTCCAGATGAGAAATCCAACTGAATTTAGTACATTTAGAGAACTGCAAGAAATTTTTCATTCAATTATGCATCAAAGATAATACGTGATACCCATGTTGAACATTTTGGGTACAGTCTGCTAAATGTCCCGTCATTCATGGGAAGATGTGTTTGTGTGTGTGTGAGAGAGAGGGAGATAGTAGAAGGGGTGTGGGGGTGGAGGAAGGTACCTCTTCTATTGCCTTATCTTTCAGAGCTTCAGTCACTCTTAAAGCCTTAATTTCACCATGAGAAACTCCCAACTCCTGCTCCTTTTCTGAAAATGAATTTTGAGAGGAGAATACTAGTTTACAGATGAGATAATAAAATGGAAGCTTGAAGAAGATATTATTTACTTTTTGCATATGCAATATGGAGGAAGGTACAAGCTTAAACCTTTGACAGTGCCTCACAATGCTACTTTTCCTGTTGATGAGAACCAGCTGTACTTATACTTCTGTACAACTAGTTTTTTGTTTTTCTTTTGGATTGGTTCCTGTACGATTAGTAATTAGCATTTTTATGATCTCATGCCATTGACTGAAATAATTATTGTCAATGGGTCCTTTTTTTGGATAAATAGTTTTCTTGAAGGATTCTTTGGAGCTTTAACTAAAAAGATATTGTAGACTATCTAGGTTCTTTTCATAATTCCAACTCGTTATTAGTGAGAAAGGACAAGGAGATAAACATGCTGTGAGTTATACTCTGATACCCAATGCACTAGAACAAATTTTACATTGGGATTAAAAAGAATACATCATCTTCATAAAAAGAACCATCATCAGAGTAAATCATGACAGAAAGAAAAAAACCATTATCAAATTGTCATGGGCTACTCTTAGTTGGTTATCAGTATCACTTACAGATAAAAGACATCACTCATGAAAAAGAGAGAATATAATGAAAGGGAGATCATTCAAAAATCATGTTATTACGTATGAATGAACTGAACAATGCAGGATTAATGCAAGAGGAGATTTACAGAGGACATTTATCAAAATTCATGCCTCTCTACCTGGTGCTTATTGGCGTTAAGTGGATTGGAGTTGGAAGGTTTGCAGTTCATTCACACATGATGATTTTTCAGTCACTTTATAAAAAGGGGGGTATAATGCCACTACATGATCAGAGGATATTTATCAAAAATCATGCCTCTACCAGATGCATATGGGCATCAAGTAGATTTGAGTCGGAAGGTTTTAAGTTCAATCTCACACAAGGTTCAAAGTATCAATACAACCTGTTTACAGGTGTTTTCAGGAATCTCTTTTTTAATGAAAATTCTATATATCTAACATAAAAAGCGCATGGTATTAAGTACCAAAACACCTCTGCTGATACACAGAGGTGTATCTATACTTTGGACCTTGATATCACATGCTGCTTTTCCAGTCGCCTTGTACAAAAGGGGCTTTATGCCGCTACATGATCAGTATCAGTGTTAAGTGTACCCAAGTCCAACGGCTTGCAGCTTGTTCACATGTGATAGCGTTCTCTCTAAGTTTGATTTCCTTGTATAATAGTTACTTCGCTTCTAATATTATAATTAAGTTTTTAAGACAGCTCCTGACAAGTGAGGTAACGTACCCAAAAAAAAACGAAGAATCAGATAGCATAATCATTCAATCAATGAATTTTTCTGCTAACATATACCCATAATTTAATGATGGCGGTCATATTTTTAGCAAAGTTACATAATTCAGTTAGACAGTTAGGACAGTTACATATATTGTTTTTTGACTCATTAGTTGTCATTCCATCATCAAAACTAAAAATGGAATACTAGACGAGAAACACAGGAAATTCTGTCAATAAAAACGTAAACGAACTAGAAACTTTTGCAACCACTGAACTAAACACAGAACGAAATTTAACATCTAAAAGGCAGGTGCAGCTGCAAGAAAGAAACTTGGTAAAGTTCAAACCACTTCCAACCCCTGAATTCAACTAAACCAGAACAGTATGTAGTAACTAGGCAATTCAAAATACAGAAGCTCGAGAACTTGAGGAGTAAACTTCAAAACTATTTCCAGTCGGACCATCCTATTAAGTTCAGAGTAGCATTCGAGGTCAGGCGCAACATTCAAGACCTTGGTCTTGGAGAAGAAATTTTCAGAAAACAGAATAACAATATCGCCAATAGGCAATAGTAAGTCCATTAACAAGTGATGCAGAAAGAATGAAGAAAAGAAAAAGGACTGACAGAGAGATAGTGAAGAGAGTGTGTATAACCTTTAAGTTGGTCCTGCAACCGGTTTAGTTCGATTGCAACAGGGTCTGACAGAGCAAGAAAGAGCTCTTTTCCAGTTAGTTCCTCGAGACCCACCATAGTTGTGTATGTGTGCTTGGAAATGCAGAGAACGAAATCCCACCTAGCAAAACATGAAACTAGGGAAGCATATAAAAGACGGGTTCTGTGAGTGTGAGATAGACTCCATTCTCTTAAGAAATTGACCGCAAAAGAGGAAGAGCATTCCCTTGCTCAGAAGCAAATCCGTAAATGCACAAATCAGTATCCGGAGAAAACGGCTCCTCTTGATGGTGACCATTATCATCTCTCTCCCTCTCTCTTTCAGAGAATCGCCAACAAATTTTTGGTGAAGGTGTAAATATTTGAATTGAATAAGTGCTTTCTCCGTATTCCTTTTAAAGTGTGTTCTTCACGAATGTTTGTGTTTTCATTTGTTTTTTAAATCGACACATCGAGAGAAAAAAAATTAAAACACGTTTTTTAATTTCTCCACGGTCAAAACCAACCACCAGTTCGAAATTGACAAGTGGTAATGGTTGGGGGTAAAGATGTCAATTGACTTTACATCACATCAAAACCTAAGAGTTACTAACTTGATTAAGCCTTGGCTGAACCGATTTGGCCAAATTCACTTTAGAAAACAGAACCTACTACCTAACCAGGTCGACCTGACACCAATTTAGAACATGTATGTATATCTAGTTAGTTGAGGATTGAGGAAGTAATTTGTAGACATTCGTATAGATGTTATACATGGGCAAGTTTATCAAAACATCAACACGAATGCATTTAACATAGACCTATTGCTTACTATAAACATATAACATATCAATTAAAGTGTGACAAGTGGATCAAATTCTGATCACGTGCGAATGATATATCTATTCTTGGATGAAATTCCTCTCGTATAAATAGTGAGCCATTCATCTATTTTATTACACTGAATGTTGCACACAAAACACACATCAGATGATTCGGCACATCCCACAACATCTCATCTCATCTCACCTTACATCATGTTTTCTCAAATTCTTTAACTCATCTTATCTACTTTTGGTGTTATTGACTTGATACACGTCCCTGGAATATCACCCTCCGACCTCTGATGTTCTCTTCTAATCCAAGTGCTCTATAACAACTAAAGTACAATGCCCTCTTCTTAACCAAGATTTCCAACCATTTTTTTTTTTTTTTTTAATTTCACCATTGTTACAAATTTTGGCAACAACTCATACCAACAAGAACATGTTTTTCTGTAATTTTATTTTGAGAATTACCTAGTTGTTTTCAAACAAATGGTTTTTGATTTGGAATGACTGTAACGGTCTAACAAACCAATGACCAAACCCATCACAAGCTCGACCGGTTGATAATCTTCTTTTTGTGACCTCTACTACTGGATGGTCGATCCCTAAAATAAATTAAACTGTTTATGTAACGAGCTCAAATTTAAACCTAAAACTGGGCTGCTGATAGTTACTTCTTTTTGTTACAACTGATGTCAATGTTACAACCCCCACTTCATCCATATCAACTCAAAATGATTCATGGTTCTTGTGATGTCTGATGCTAAAAATGCGATTAAATCTTTGCAACAAAGTTGAAATATGACATTTGGATAGATAGAATCTGTAGTACTGTTAATTTTTTTTTGGTTTGTATGTCTGTCAGTTATATTCCTAGCTAGAGATATCAATAAGGCTGTCCATGTTTTGTGACCTAGAAAGCTAAATCTTTATTTGTTTCATCTCTCTATTAGTTAGTGGTGATTTTAATTTATTTAGCTGTTAGGGAGGGGTGGTTGCTTGATCAATTATAATCCTTTGGGTTCGTCATTGGATTTCTTCGGCACGCATGCTCCTTCTACATCCCCCCCCTTGGCCATTGGTTGGAGATAGCTTTTGGGTGTTGTTGTTAGTTTCCTACTTTCCTTAATTTGGGTCGTTTCAATTCATGGATAGAATAGATCAATTGATATAACAAAGTTGGTAATTAAAGTCTGTTTGGGCTGGCCTTTTGGTCGGTTTGTACCCTCTATGTATAAGAAAATAAAAAATGAATATTTACCCTTGAATTTATTAATAATAATAAAAACGAAACGAGAGAAAAAAATATCACAAGGGTACGTGGTTCTAAATGTTCAATTAATTAATTTGTTGTCGTGATGGCGTGTTTTTCTCTGTTACTGAAACTTGAAAGCTCCTTCTTACGAATAAATTCAATTGCTTCAGCCTTAAACCATGCTTTGCCACTGAGTGGAAGTTGTTTAAAGAGACGTAAATTTGAAAGTGGAGACTAAATTGAAAGGCTGAAGTGGCTTGAAAGAACAAATAATTCAAAAAAAAAAAAAAGAAAAACCACCAAATCTCCATCTTTGCTTGGAAGCATGATTATTAGGTTTGAAAAAAGAGAAGTAGTATATATCAAAACGCGTGTACATTGGCATTTACCAGATTCTCATAGTTTAATTAGACAGCTGGCTATTTTATAAGGCGACAAATTAATTAAAGGGGAAGACTCCACAACCCCAACAACAACACCCACTTAATTTGTTCATGACAATAAAATCCCAAAAACACATCAAAACCAGCTGAACATTTCAGAAGACTGGTTTTAGATGTGAAGTTGATTTTGGTTGTCTGCCCATATATAATAATATCCATGCATTATTTGGAAGTGATCAAAAATTAAATCATCACATTGAATGGTTGCTATTGGTTTGAGTAGGTAGCCTGTGATCAAGGCTTTTGATTTACAAAAATCTAATTAAATCAAGTCGTAAACAATATAAAACATGGTCGTCATCAACTCATCATATACATAGTTGCTCTTCAACAAATCTCGAAATGATACCACTTGGGTTGGGGAGCGTAAAGCATGGTATAGCTAACTAGCTATATCCAACGATCGAGGGGCCATCCGCTTCTTTCTCTTTCTGTAAACAAAGACCAATTAAACCATGCAAAAGTTTCGTGTAGCCTCCCAAGGTCGACCTAGCTACTCTATTGAAGCGACGTCGGAGAAGGCAAAGTCAGGCTGAGCACTTAAAAGAGAGAATGGGACGTGGAGTAGGTCGTGAGGTTGATATATGGAGATTTCCAGAGCGAGGGCGCCCTGCTGCCTGGTCTCTGAGTAAGACTAGATAATGAAATGGAAATTTTATTCAATATATTGTTGTGAAAATCTTTCTCAGAACATGGTCATATCTCGTCCAACTCAATGTGTGTTAGGTTGTTCAGCTACGGATAATTAAACCATTGAACTGTATATATATCTAAAAATATATACTTTAATTCTAAGTCCAAATCAAATGATCTAATCTAGTGATATGGTATCTAATAATTTTTCGTCTTATATGTATGTGAATCCAATCCACCACAATATTCTGCCGTCAACTGATCGTTCTACTACACCTGCCGCAGGCATACCCAGCTGATCTGATACATTGCCATCCCTCGTTTTACATGTTACAGTTATGGGAACATCAGGCTTAAGTTGCAAGGGTCGGCTCTACAATGCATTGCGGTTTAGGATGTCATAATTGCTTAGATTTAATGGAGTTCACATCTCCGCCCCACAATGTCCCACAGCTCATTTCCACCGTGTATTGGAAACATCTTCTGATGATGATATCAACAGTTCTTTATGGTATTATCATCCGGAGATGTTCCTAATAATACACAATGGGGATGTACCGTGGAACGTTGTGGGGCGAAGATGTAAATTCAATTTAGTGACCCTTTGTTTTTTTAAGTTATTTATTCAGGTAAATACACAAGTAAGTTGCCAAATAACTTACCGAGGGAAAATTGAGTTTCTGTGAGACCCCTACACTTAATTACCAAAAAGGAACATACGAAAGTTGATCAACCTTCCCCTTCTAACTTTATCATTAACCAATTTTTCCCTCCAATTTACCAAAAAACAAACAGGTGGTTATGAAGCTTAATTATTATCTAGAAGGGATGGCAATTGGGTTTGCTGTGGGTTTATCTATAACCAACCACCCATTAGAGAGAGAGAGAGAGAGAAAAGGGAAGACTTGACAAATTTTCAATATTTTTAATTATAAATGTTTGATTACCAATTGTAAACGAAAGAATTTATTGATATCTGACCTCTGTCTACATAACTAGAGTTAGGGTAAATTGCAGATTAGTATCCTATACTTTGGAATTAGTCTCCCTTTAACGAGTACCCAAACTTCAAAACATGCCATTGTAGTACTTGAATTCTCAAAAATTGCCAGTTTAGTTAGAAATCTTTAACCAGCGTTAGGTGGCATGTGAAAGCACACAAATACCTTCAAGTTTTGAATAAGCAGGAGAAGCATAATTTTGAAATGGCAAAAAAAATAATAATTACCATGTTTAAATCCCTTTTCTCTACGATTGGACACCACTATTTACTTTATTCCCTAACCATTCTACAAAAGAAGCTACAGCTAAAGAAGAGACATTTAAGTTTCAAAAATATTAAAAAAGATAGTTTTGGCATTTAAAAAAAATTAAGTTGCATGCACATATCGTCATGGATATAGGTAACTGAAAGACTATTAATGACAAATACTAAATTGACAGTTTTCGAGAATTCAAGTATTAGAGAGACATTTTGAAATTTAGGTACTAGAGTGAAACTAGCTCCAAAGTACAGAATATTAATCTACAATTTACCCTTACAATTAATGGACTAGGTATAACCATTGGGCTCATAGGGTAAAGCCATATCCACAACTATTTTGTACTTATGGATCCATCATCCCATACATGGGGTCAATATTGAGGTGCCAATTAAGATAGACTGGATTTAATTTGAGCTTAATTCTAACTCAACATCTGAACCAAGGGAAAATCGTGAGGGGAAGGGTTGAGCCTAAGAACTTATTCCGATGAAACCTTGCTCCTTAGCATCCCTTGAAGTGGAGGGCAAAAAACAACCATCAATACCTTTAGATGATGGGAAAACACCTAATCTAAGAATGAAGCTAATTGGATGGCTTCAGCAGTGTATTTTCTAGATCTGATTGCTTTGATATTTTAAAATGGGGAGGCCACAACATTTAGGTTATGTTTGGTTTGAAGGAAAGAAAAAAGTAGGGAAACCTATACAAGGTTTTTAAAGGTTTACCTATCTTTCCTTTCCCTACTTTTTCCTTAAAACCAAACACAGCCTTAAATTAATCTTTGGTCCACCGGAAGCATGGCACATGCAACAAGGTATGTTGGTACATTTGGTTGATATTCTGTTCTTAACCTAGACATTACATTTCCATTAAGAAGAAGAGTAAATAATAGATCCATGCAGCTGAAGTAAGGTAATCCTAATTAGCTCCTCCAACAAGTTATTC